CACCCCGTGCAGTTCGCACCCGGCCACATAGCCGAGTACGTTGACCCAGGAGTTCGGTGCTAAATGCCATAACCCCAACTCATACCCATCCAAGATCTGCTGAACAGCCGGATGTAGTGGGAAGCACAGCCCAGCCTTGATGGCCGCCTCGTAGCAGCCAAAGCAGGCGCCATCATAACTGGTACCAGCCGGCCAGACGACTGTGTCTTCTGGATCCGGCACAAACACTAAAAAGCCAGGGCCCATTGTGTGGTTTGCGATAAAGCTCTCCACTTTCTCTTGCATGGCTGTGATCCGGCCCCGAGGTACCGTGCAGTAGTAGGGGGTATTTTGCTCTCGGTGATAGGCGGATGGCTCCGCCCAATCGTCCCCCTTCTCAACTGCGTGAGAAAGCCTCGCCTCTTGCAGGCGACTGTTTTTCTCTTCTGTGTCCAGAGAAGCATGGCCAGAAGAGCTAGACTCGGAATCGTTCTCTGACGAGTCCGAAGAGGACGACTCTTCCCCTCTCCCGGAGGGGCCCGCCTCATCTCTTTTAAAAGGAGAAGGAGAGAATGAAGAATTGTCAACTGTAAAATGGGAAGGGGTCACTTTGACTCCTCCCTCAGAACTGCCGGCTTTCAAGCCGCTTTGTTTCACCTCCACATCTGGCGCCTGGTCAGATGTTTCACTAATCGGCACCATGTGGGAGGAGCCGTCTGAGTTTGAGATCCTGGCAGTCTTTTTTGTCCTGGCCATCATGCTCTGCATAGACACAGATACAGTCGGACTTTGTATAAAGGGCAAAGATGGGTCCAGAAAAGGGCAGGCGGCACTCCTAGTCCTAGATTCAGCCGTCCCCGGTGACCGGCTGATCACTAACCTAGGTCGTGTCGTGTGCTTCCGTGGTGCCATTTCAAAAAAGAATAAAGTAAAGAGGAAATTAAGAGTAAGAGAACCGACGGTTACCTGAACGAGTGACGATTGATAAAGTTCTGGAAATCCTTTGCAGTCGGCTTGTCAGAGCAGGCGGTAGGCAGAAAGGGTCCAAAATGTCAGAGCAAGTTCAGGGGTCCGAATGTTCTCTCACAAAGTTCTCAAGTGTGAAAATGACCGAAGTCAACACTCCTTTATATAGGCAAAGTGAGAAGGCGAAGGGTCACTTCCAAAATTCATAATTTGGGCAGGAGAATCTCTCGGCCTTTCGCCGAGTGACACCTGTAGCAGGCCGTCGCCTGTTACAGTGCGACACCTGTCACAGGTAACACGTGACCAGTCACGTGCCACCTGTGAGGGGCAAATGATTAGGGGATTTTGCTCCCACCAATCGGAATGCGCCACGTGAGCCAATCAGGTCCTGCCAAGTGTCCCTCAGTTGGAACTGTCAGGGCTTGCCACGTGGCACCCGCTTATTCGTCCACCTTGGACCTATTATGTCATGACACGTGGCATACTCCATGCCTAATGGAGAAACCGGCCACCCAGGCCCAACTTCCGAGGAAAGCTCAATCAGTCCAAGGTTAACCTAAACCTAGGATTGGTACGCTTCTCAAAGACTATAAATACTTAATTAATCCTCATTAAAGGGGATTAAGCAATTAAACACTCTCACCTAGAGAGACCCAATCACTTTAATTTCCGCATTAATTACTCCTTAATAAGGTACTAACTTGACCGTTGGAGGCGGAGCTCCCACCACCAGGAGTCTCCGTTGTTTTGCAGGTACAGGCGTCCGGTTCCAATCTCGGAATTGTAACTCTCCCGCAGACATCAGAAAACCCCGAAACAAGTGCTATAGGGGTTACTTGGTCAGTGTTATAATGGTTACTCAATCAGTGTTATAGATAGGAGTTACTTAGTTAGTGTTAGAGGTTACTCATTTAGTATTACAAAAGTTACTGGGTCAGTTTTATAGGGGTTACTTGTCCGGCCAGATGATATGGCTAGCTGCAATGCATTGTCAAAAGTGATTATATAACCGTAACGTATTTAACATTCAAGCCAAAAGATTTATCCTAAAATTCAATAAACAACCTGAGCATCGCCCGAGGCACAAAACTAGTCACTAATAAATAAAGCCGGTCTCGTAGCCAGGCCACAAGGTACTGACACTTGGCATTTCAGTTTTTCGCCAAGTGTCAAGTCACGTAGGCGACAAATAGGTATTATTGTGACACATATGATGCTAAGTAAGCGAATTTTGGATAGATTTTTTATGATAAAAATGTTGTATAGAGTTTTATTATCGATATACTTCTAATATTTCATATATACGAAATTAATCATAACTTTTTATAAATATCTTATAACTCGGTTCTATTTACATCATAAAATTTATTTTAAAAAGTTCTTTAAAATAAGATCCATGTGCGATGCACGATTTTTTCATCTAAGATTTTTAATTGTTTATTTATTGTATTTAATAATTTCAGACAAAATTACAAAAGTTTAATATTTATATATTTTTTTACTATAATTTATAATGAATTTATTAAATATAAATAAATTGTAAATATGATATTTTTTCCGTTATATAAAATCTTTAATGTGAAATGATAAATTTTTAATAATTTAAATCCTAAATCATTATTCATTGTTTTACCATATCTTTTATTTCGATAGAATCACCAGCCTCGTCCACAACCAACCTACTACATCAATGGTAAATTGAACTGTGAAATGTTAGCCAAACTGACATTGATGTAAATTAAATCTTTACATTTATATAAAATAAATCAATATATTTACCAATAAATGAAAAATTGTTGCGATATAAAATCAAATCTATGCATTGGAATTTTTTCATCATCTCAAAAAATAACCAAAGCCATTCATATATTAAGTATACAACATCTAATCGTATGCCATTACATAAACAAATAATCTTTAAATATCCTAAATAAATACAATGTAACTAATAATTACAAATATAAATTTAAACATAAGATTTTAAAAATTATCCGGACATTGATGACCTAAAACTAACACAAAATTACTAACACAAAATTCGTTTGATGGGGTTTTGTATTGATAAGAAATTTTATTTGTGTCGTTTGATGTGTTAGATTTGCATGTAAAATAACATTTAGTAAATAAAACATAAACATATGATCGTTGATTATCCCAAATTAATACAATGTAAGTAACACTTAGAAATACTAATTCAAACATAGGATTTTAAAAATTAAGCTAAAAATTACCCGGTCATTGATGACCAAAAATTAACACAAAATTACTAACACAAAATTCGCTTGATGGGGTTTTTTATTGATACGAAATTTTGTTTGTGTCGTATGATGTGTCAATTTATAATGGTAGGTATCACAAATTTTAATTTAATTATATTTAACGAACAATTTGTATTTCTTACCATAAATACTATCAAAATTTATCTTATATGATAGGTATCAAACTTTATTATAAGCGTTTATCATTTAAATATTTTTTAGTATATTTTTTTTGGATTTCTTATACTTGTAGTATTGAATTAATAAATTTATCTTTTTCTATATTTTTACTTTATTTTTTTCATTAAAATAATTTAATTCGTGGATTATAATCTACGTGCCATTAAAATGTTAGATATATCAAATCTAATTTGTTACTTTTATCTAGGTGGCGACATAATTTTTTAATTCAAAAATAAAATACAAATCTTTCTTCTTATTGGTCGAAATAAGTATATTTCTTACGTGGCGCTCCGGATGCTCTCCAAAAATGTCTACTTTATTTATATATATTAGATTAGATTTAATTTATTTATAAAAATAATAGAAAACATGCTAAAAAAAGCTTTAAGCAGTAAAAATAACTTTAGTCAATGTCAAAAAAAAAAAAAAATTCAAGTTAATAATATCATAGATAGCTTTTTACAAACAAAATTACAAAAAGTACATTATAATATAAATAAGCGATATGATATCGTATGTCTAAATATATCGCATTATCAAAAAAATTATATGATCGTATTTAACATTCAAGCCAAAAAGTTTATCTTAAAATTTTATCAACAATCCGGACATCGTCCGAGCACAAAACTAGTTTAATTATAAAGCGAATATCAAATGCAATTTAGTTCCTATTTTGTTTTCCTTATTTTCAATTATTTCAAGGAAGTTTGAGTAGAGTTGATAACTTGGTACACATAAAGATTTCCAATAAAAAAATAAAATAAAAAGATACAAATAAGATAATTAAAATAAAATACTCTGTAATATAAAAAATAGGTTATAATAAAGGTAATTAGGACTACTAGAGTCAATTTAGAACTACCCGTCAAAAAAAATAAAAATTCAATTTAGAACTAAATAATATCAAATAATAAATACAAGTAAATTTAGATAAGTTTTAAAAAATTTAAACAAATCCCAATAAAAAACCCGGTGAATAAAACATACTTTAAAATTTATCATTAATCTAATCTTTTTATCAATATGAAAACTTCTCATCGCCCCCAAGATGTAATATTATTTCAACGTAACCATAAAAAATATTCAATTCAAAAACTTTATTTTTATTTAGTTAAGGAAAACCTATAACTAACGTATACCATCTAGATTCTAGATTAGGAAAAATGTAGTCCATTAAGAATTTGAAGTTTGGACCGAATTAAATGAAGAACGCCAATTATGAATTAATTCCATTATTAAAACTTTATTATAAGAAGTAGATAATATTAATGGATGACTTATTGACTCTAAAATTCCCTAAAAAAGAATACTTGTAACGTTTTAAGGGTAGAACTTGTCAAAATAATGCTACCTTAAAACCTACTCTCGACTAGTCAAATTACTCAATTCTTTTTTATTTTTTTTTTCCTTTTTTCCTTTTTTCCTTTTTCTTTTAATTTTTTGGTAGTACCACCATTAAAGCGTAGACTTGAAGACCACTATTCAAACCAATTAAAGTCCCCTTCAATTTCTCTCTCTTTATCTTACTCTTTTCTCTTCTACCATCATCTTTGTCTTTTGAAGTTATTCCATTTCAAATTCCAGGCGAGTTTTTCATTTTTACAATTTTAATTTCTGCTTTAATTGTCATTTTGCTTTTAAATTGAACTTCAAGCGTTAGTTTTTAGGCAGTTTTTTTAGTGATTTTTGTATCAAAAATTACCCATAAAATGTTTTATGCCAATTGTGGTTCAATGTGATGTTTAATGGGATCTTCTATTTTTGTTAATTTGATGTAAAGTTTTGATCTTTCTCGCTTTTATTTTGGTGGGGTTTTGTTGGGTGGAAAATTAATTTATTAGATGAAATTGTTCATAATTTTCTTAGTGACTAGTGTCTCTTTACAGTGGCTAGAAATTGGGCAATGTGTAAATGACAATGAAGTAGACGAGATTCGATCCGAGGTCTTGGGCTCAACCCGATAGACATTAACCCACTAATCAAGAAGCTAACTTTGAATCTGTCAAAACAAGTGCTAGAATCATTGATGATTTTCTATTGAACTACTGAAATTGGAAGCCTTTTATATTTTCCTTGATACTTATACTTAATATTATAGTGTAATGAATTTTGTTTAATAAATTTGTTAAGGGGTTTCCTAAATGGGTTTTGGGTGGTAAATCTAATATGTGTGTGTGTGTGTTTTTTTTTTTTTTTTTTTTTTTTTTCGGCAACATTTTGATTTGCATATTTAATCAGTAGTTGCAATAATCACAGTAACATTGGAGTTTATCTTTGTTATTTGACCATTTAATTTTTGAATCTCAGCCCCAGATGTCTGGATTTTGTTACTTGAGCACTTCAAAAACCTCTGCAACATGCATTAATCTGTCTAAGTATAATGGCCTGATACAAAATCTAAATCCATACTCTAGTTTTTTCATGGTTTTTAGTGAGCGGACAATGAATGTGCTCGTGTTTTGTTGATTCGAATTTGTTGGTCATACAAATTGTATACAAGTATATAATATAATATGATTTCTCCTTTGCTTAATCATCTGTAGCAATGTCTTATTTGATGTATGTAACTAGTTGAAGCAGTAAAAACTAGTTGTAGCTTTGTGTTGATGGTGCATGGTTTTTAGTAAAAACTAAAAAGTATGTAACTAGTTGAAGCAGTAAAAACGGAGTAGGAAAATTTTTTTGATAGAGAAATGATAATAGATGTATTCATTATTTTCATCATGATTTTATTAAGCTGAACGGCAAGCAGACAATGAGAGTATCCATGATGCCTTTAATTTTCTTGTTGTAGCTTTGTGTTGATGGTGCATGGTTTTCTGTGGTCTGTTTGTATCTCCTTAATGTTCTTGTGCTCTAATATTTGGTTTTCAGGACATGGGTTGAGTAGTTGTTGATATAATCCTTGAGGAACTAGTCTGATAATCTGTTCTTTAATTATGGAATTTGGTCTTACTACTCTTACAGATTTCTACACTAAGAAAATGCTGTTTAAAGATCAGATAATGGTTACATGAAAGTGGTCAACCGTCTGGTTCATGTCTGCTTTCAAAGACCGATCAATTGATCATTGCAGTATAGCTGTATAATATCTCATCGCCTTTGGCTTCATGTGCTATTTGGTTTGAGGTTGTCACGTTTAAGCACTACCTTTCTGCACAAAGTGATTGACTCTACTTGTTGGAGCTAATAATGAAAGACATGAAGAAATGGTATGTTGGTGTTATAGTTTCCTCTGTCTTCATGTTGCTGGTGCTACGATACACCATCATGCAAAACCCTCTAGGGAAAAGTTCCTTGACTGCTTCCCTAACGTTCAATGCGACTAATCCATTTGAATGGGTTAACACTAATCCTCTAGAATGGATAAGCTCTACTGGTACACCTGATCTTCAAAGTCCTAAGATTGCTACCCAAGTAATTTCTACTGATACTCTGACATCCGGACTCTTTGTTTGGAGAAACCTTACAAAGGTGGAGCAACATTCTTTACTGACTTGGAACCAGCTAAAGCACTTGATGAATAATTCTCAGTCTTTACCAAATGCACTAGAAGCCACTAGAGAAGCTTCACATGCGTGGAATGGCCTTATGACTGTGATTGAAGAGGAAAAGCTTCATGTAAATGACAGTACTTCTGTAAAAGCAAAGGAGAAACAGTGTCCGCACTATCTTAAGAAGATGAGTGGCTTAGAACTTAACAGTAGTGATTTCAGGCTAGAGGTCCCTTGTGGATTGACTCAAGGTTCGTCTGTTACAATTATTGCTATTCCAAATGGCCTTCTTGGCAACTTCCGGATTGACTTAACTGGGGAACATATTCCTGGAGAGCCAGACCCACCTATTATACTTCACTATAATGTTAGGTTACATGGAGATCAGATAACGGAGGACCCTGTTATTGTTCAAAACACCTGGACTGCTGCACATGACTGGGGTGAAGAGGAGCGTTGCCCGAATTCTGAAACTGACACTAATAAAAAAGGTAACTAGGTTTCTCTATTCCGGGGATTATGTGAAGCTCTATTCTTTTATTATTTTGTAAAAGTATAGATTGCCACCATTTGAAGAATTTTTGTTAGTTACTTGCTATGCCACACTCAAATTTCATGTCCTTTTCTTTGTCATTTTCAACTAAGTCATTCATTATGTTTTCTGGAAAACAAAGGATGTCTGCGAAAATTCTTTTAATAATTTTATTTAAGCAATTCGTGGTCGTGCTTGGAATTTGGTGGTTGGAGTTTGATGAGCCACTATACTTGTATATTCTGGTCTGCTATATGAGTAATATGACCCTACTAGAAGGTGTAGGAAACTTTGAACAAGAATGAAATTTTTATGTAAGGTTCAGTCATTGTCCAAAAATGTAGTCATTAGGATTGTCCAGGTTCCACTGTTCCAGTAAACTCTCATGTTTCTTTTGTAGTTTTCATGTGTTATTTGAGTTTGTAGCTTTAATTCCTTGTCTCAATATTTATTCAAACCTACAATCTCGTTCTTTTGGATGATGCTGAGCTAAAAATGTGCATACTAGAGGAAACAGTGTAAATTACCCCTGATGTGATTCATACTTTGTATGTGTTATCCTAATTTTGCAATGATGACTCATAGTCCCCATTTATTGAGGTCTAGACTTCTGCATAAGATCGTAAGGTTTTCCATCAGGACTACTGTACTATGAAACTTGATAAACATTATGACTGCTTCCGTCTTGACTTTATCTTATGTTTTCCATATTGGAGTTATGTCTTCAATTTTCGACATTTTTTGTGAATGAACCCATGTTGTATTTGTATATGACTTTGGAGCTGACCCTCGTCCAAAATTTATAGTGGATGAGCTTGATCAGTGCAATGAAATGGTGGGAAAGGATGTCAATCAGACATTGAAGGCGTTCACCCATGTAAATGGTTCTAAAGGGTCTCCACATATTCATGACGGGTTTAAAAGAAGACCATACTTCCCTTTCAAACAGAGCTATCCATTTGTTGCAACACTTAGAGTGGGTTCAGAAGGGATACAAATGACAGTTGATGGGAAGCATGTAACATCATTTGCTTATCGTGAGGTGCTGTTTTCAAAATTTCTCTAGAATTGCACTTTAGATGCTTGAGGTAAAATCCAGTTCAATTTATTCACTTGCATTTTCCAATTATTTCAGACCTTGGAGCCTTGGCTTGTTAGTGAAGTTAGAATATCTGGAGATCTGCAGTTAATCTCTATCATTGCAAGTGGTCTACCTACATCTGAGGATATAGAGCATGTTCGTGATCTGGAAACTCTGAAGGCTGTTCCCATTCCACACCAAAAAGCTTTAGATCTTTTTATTGGGGTTTTCTCTACTGCAAACAACTTTAAGCGCCGTATGGCTGTTCGAAGAACGTGGATGCAATTTCCAGAAGTGCGCTCAGGGTCAGTTGCAGTGCGCTTTTTTGTTGGTTTGGTGAGTCTCTAAACTTTGTTTAACCTGTTGAATGGTGACTTCAAAGTCACTCCAAGTTTCGCCAGTCTGTTTAATTTCATGTATTGGGTTGCGATACTCCTAATTGCATCTGGCCATCAAAAACAAAATGATAGTGGGTGAATAGTTTATGTAAAAGTAAGAGATGTGAGAGAAATCTTACAAATGTTTGAATGGGGTAAGAGTGGGGACCATGTGAGGAGAAAGATATAATAAAATATGAATAGTATTTCCATTTAAGGAAGTTTTGCATTTAAAAAAAAAAGGCCTAGGAATTGTTGAAATTAAAAAAAAAAAAAAAAAAGGCCTAGGAAATGTTGCTATAAAAAAAAGGCCTAGGAATAGTTGCATAAAAAACAACAGGGATTTTCTGTACAATAATATGTATCATGGTTAGGATATTGATAGCTATTATTGAAATCCTTTTTGCTCAAATCATTTGAATGAGAATTACTTATAAAGGTGGTATTTTTACAGCATAAAAACCAAAGAGTGAATGAAGAACTGTGGAATGAAGCCCGTACTTACGGAGACGTGCAGTTGATGCCATTTGTTGATTATTATAGTCTGATTACATGGAAGACTGTGGCCATCTGTGTTTTTGGGGTAATGTCTTGTTTGATTTATGTCTTCCCTTTTTTTGGATGAAGTGGATACTCCTATCAGTTATGCCCTTTCATAAAAAATCCTGTAGAAAAAAAAAGGTTGTTTCAATCTATGGCCTGTTGGAAAATGTTTCCTAAATGCGATTTTGTTGGAGCCAGGGGACTTGTCACTTTGTCTGAACATATCAATCTATAAAAAGGAAAATTGCTGTTTAGGATAGTTGCTTTTCTCATTGATTTGCTCTGTTCAACAGGTGATTATCCAACTACGACATTTTTAACTTTTATCCTTGAATTTGCTATATCCAACAATTTTGTGATTGTATAGAAGGGTGCATGAATCCTATTGAGTTATAGTACTCACTTCTTTTGGAAATATATTCCATTAGGCCATATGTTGGGATTTCATTTTCACATAATTGTAGGGAAATTTTGTCTTGTAAACATTGATAGAACTTCTCATTGACTTCTCTGGCACAATGATGCAACAGACGGAGGTTGTTTCAGCAAAATATGTCATGAAGACAGATGACGATGCTTTTGTTCGTGTTGATGAAGTAATAGCTTCCTTGAATAAGATAAATGTGACTCGTGGATTGCTTTATGGGCTCATTAACTCTGACTCACGACCTCACCGGAGTCCTGACAGCAAATGGTTTATTAGTACTGAGGTAATATTAGAAGCTATTAGTAAAATTTCAATGTTGCATACATTGTTCAATTATCTACTAGTATATGTGATTCCATGAGTATTCTTTTGTAATAGCTGATAATCAGCTCCTACCATTGCATAAATTTACTGTCTGCTTTGTTGAGTTGATCTAAGAACTCCTTTGAGCTCCATCATCAAAATCATCAAGGTGATTCAACGACGTCTTAGTGTGTATGATTCTACACATGTACTTGTATAATTCAAAAGCACTCTGTTTTATAAGGCTATTTTTAAATGCTTATATCCTAGGCTTGTTTGCTCGATGTACAATCAAGTCATACTATTTTACATGCTAGTGTTCATAGCTTCTGATTATTCTTTGATGTGTACTTTTGAAGGAATGGCCAGAAGAAACTTACCCACCTTGGGCACATGGTCCTGGTTATGTTGTGTCACATGACATTGCGAAAGCAGTATCCAAGAGACATCAAAATGGGCAACTGAAGGTGGGAGAAGCCAAGTGCAACAATAATATTGAGTTTCTGTTTGAATGCTGATAAATTTTCAGTAAAATTTTGTTGCCATGTGTTGTACTCTAAAAACATTTATTCTGGTTCTTGTAAACACCAGATGTTTAAGTTGGAGGATGTCGCAATGGGCATCTGGATTGCTGACATGAAGAAAGAAGGGCTTGAGGTCAGGTATGAGAAAGAGATGCGAGTCTATAATGAGGGTTGCAAGGACGGTTATGTCGTTGCACACTATCAGGGTCCAAGAGACATGTTATGTTTATGGCAAAAACTTCAAGAAACCAAGCGCGCCTTCTGTTGTGGAGATGGTATGAGCTGAGAATTTTTTTGACGGCTGACAGTGACTACCAACTATTGCTTTTGCATAGATGTAGGATTAGGTAGTAAATAATACACATTTCTAGGACTGCATATATAGGAGGCATTACCTTATTCTTTTACCTCTCATTGTTTGAGAGCGAGTAGCTGATTTCTAAGGGTTTAGCCATATTCCATTTTGTATCATATCGATTACTCCGTATATGTGAGTGCGAGGGAGAAGTCACATATACGGAGTATTATCTAATATCCTTGTATAGAATTAGAAAAGGGCGTATAAATTCAGAGAATTTTGCAATTATGATGTGTTGAATACCCTTTTCTCCCATTCTTCCATCTCAAATTTATGATATCCTATACTGTATATAATAAGATCATTTTTCCAACAATTCATCACAACCCTTCAAAACCCCGTTCTAGCAATTCTAAACACTTTTTATTTATTTATTTATTTTTTAATAATAATAATAATAATAAAAATCATTCTACTCTTACACATCGTAATTCGTAATTATTTAGGTTTATACTAAGGGGATACAAACTAACTTTTTCTTTTATAATCCGCATTAGTATGGGTGCATTATAGTGTGTACTTTAAAGATTGCTTAACCTTCTTTCAAAGCCACAAAATATACCGTTCTCCATTATAGTTGCCAGACTATAAAATTTGTGTTGGATAGAAATTTTGTTCCTGCCAAAGATAAGGTAGTTTCAAGGTTTAAAAACACCAAAATCAACGGACTTTATTTACAATAAAAAGTGGGAAAAAGTCACAGTTATAACTTTCAAGCCATACAACTTTTCCTTTAGAGAAAAATTCTAAACTCTAAAGCCTCTCATGATAAAAAAATGTCTAAACTTTACCTTGTTTTTTAACAAGATTGATTCGTGCCTCTATTTACATTCCTTAATTGCCAAAAAAACTATGCAAAAGAATAGCAAGTTGGTATAATAAGTTAAAGAAACTTTTTATCGTCCAAGAATTAGATCTATACTTGGGTAGTTAATCAATCATCGAAAGTATTAGCATGTTCAGTCCAAGTACAAAATACAAATCAACAACAATGTTTAAAGCAAACAAACAAAAGGAGAAACTATTAAAATCATTATATAACTCATTGTCATAATTACTACTTAAAAGTACAACATCAACTACGTTACATGAACCAAATAAAAACTTAAATTCTCATATTAATAAAGGCAGACAAATAGACTATGACATACTACGTACCAACAATTGCATAAATTTCTTTCTAAGTAGCCATGCACCCAACACCAAAACGAGCCTTAGGAAAGACAAGAAAAAGGCAACTACAAACAACACCAACCATCAAAGGGAAACTCTCCATGGCTTCCTCCATCTCCTTAGCATGACCCGGGAGAAGACAGTTGGTAACCCGATGATCCGAAAAAGCGATCGCCATAAACACCATAACAGACATCATAGCGTGCACAAAATCAGAAAAATGGACGTTATACTTGTCCTCCTTAGGCACCTCAACATCCAACCCTGGCTTGAACACTGCTAACCCGTTACGAGTCACGAAACCGTAGTACACCTTCCCATCTGGGGCCCGAAAACTATCAGTAAAATGGAAGAAGAAGCAAGAGAGGGCACATAGTATAAGTAGAATAGTAGTCATAATAGTGGAAACTGAAGAGCATTCACCAACACCATAAATAGAAGGGAGGACCATCTCAAAAGTGAGTAGGGTTCCAGTAGGAAGGAAATGGGCTAGCATAGATGTCTTAGAAAGGGTTCTTTGGACCGATTTCGCAACCACGGCACGCCTTTTCTTTGGCACACCCGTGGATACAGGCAGCGTTGGCGGGTCCGAGGGTGCCGGAGGGGTTGATGGTGGAGGGAATTGAGGAGGGCCTTTGGATGGAGATGCAGTGTAGATTTTGATCCCTAATTCAGGTTGTTCAGGTTGCTCCATTTGGTCGTGGTGGTGTAAGGAAAGAGAGTTATTGGGGTTGTAGAAGTTAAGTTTGTTTCTTAAGAGTATGATAATGGGAGTGGTTTTTGGTTTAAAATGAAGGTTTGTTGATTTATTTATTGTCCGTGATTTGAAAGAATAAATAACCACCCTAAAAAAAAAAATAACTGCCTTGAAAAAATGTTGATAACCACCGTTTTTTTTAATAATTATTTATGAAAAATTAACCGCCATTCATCTTATTCAATGTTGCTTCCAAGATGAAGTAGAAAGAGGAAAAAGCAACAAATTGGCTAGAATTGAGTCATTATTGTTTAAGAGTAAATATACAGTACATTATAGGTAACAATCACATACGATTTGAGCCTCGGTTCTAACTGCTTCTATAGGCTGAACCGAAAACCTAAAGGCTCAGGTTTTTGTTAATACAAATTTCTATGTTTTCAAGTGTGTCTAGACCATGATTCTAGATGTTTTGGGCTCAGGTTCATCCGCTCATCATCTTCTTTATGATTAAATACGGCTTTTAATGAATACGGAGTAAAAGGGTGTCTACTTGCATGGTGTTATGCAAGATCTCTTGGTGCCATGAGTGTGGAAGTTTATGATTTAACATGGATCTCAGGAGCACATCCACCTTGTGTTTCGAAACTTGTACGCGAATTTTAAGGGTTTATGGAGGAATTTACAACTTACAAGGATTATCCTGCAGTCTATCTAAGCAAGAAGCCATGTTCAGAGAGTGCAATTTCAAATGCTTTCACCCTTTCTCCACGAACACTGCCATTGCGATCGTAAGATGATATTTCATCGATACTGAGGTTTACTGCTGCTTTTACAAGCTCTTCACCAACTGCTTTCGCAGCCTCCTGAAAGCATTGACAACCAGGAACATTTTAATTCAATTTCTATCTAATCACTGAAACTTTAAGAAACTGCAAGAAATACTCGGTAGGTGATTCTTGAATGCTTTAGCATCATAGCAAGTCACATAGTTAACTGCTAGTAGTGATATGACGAACTAGAAAAGTTTATTGCATATAGCATATTGAGATTAAATTCCAACCAAGTCAATTGAGAGGAGTACGTACGCAAACATCATATGAAGTTAATTTGGTGCTTACCACAGTACTCACATCAGGATCACTTCGTACAGATTTCTGCAAAGTGCTTCCATAATATAAACACTTCTTATTTACATCATCTACAAGCATTGCATACAGCTGCTTGTCTGAACAGAATACTGAAAGCCTCGGTTTGGTTGATGTGCCATCATACTGTGATAACGAAAAAATATGTTCTTAGAAAGTCCATGGCTTTACAAGGCACCAGCAACCGAAATTACTAGCAGCTGCATTCAAGCTTTTGTATATATATGTTAAACAAAAACAGATTCTTCATCCCAAGAATAGCCATAAAGTAGTACACAAAATTGATTCATTAACATCTCCACTAGTAGTTCCCTTGAATTCACCAAGTTTACAATGTTAAATACTTTTCAAATTCATAAGCAGATTTGAAGTATAAACCACAAACATTGTGTTAATTACAGTCCTTGAATAAGGTGTGATCATCCTAGGTCTCATACCTTTTTCTGTAATCGTCTGTTTCGGAGTTTGCTACTTTCAATTCGAGCATTCGCCCTTTTCCTAAACTTCGCTTCAACTACCAACGACTTCCAAGCAACTCCTACTGTCCAAAAACAAAACAAAATATTCCTGAACCTCCAAAATTGCAAATCTTGAAAGTCACACAAGGACTACTTTCAAACAAACCTAAACACTTTGCCATTTTGTATAACCGTTTTTTCGCCGGGCTTACCTCGAGTATGCACTGGCATCAAGTGAACTCTTAATGGATTCAAAGCAATCCTATTAAGAAGCCAACAATTCACATGCTGCATTGGATTGACATTCAAAAGAGCCATTGTGCTTCAGACAATAAATGTCAGCAATCTAACTTTGACATCAAACCAACCCACTTCCTAAAACAGATTAACACATACAAATATACAATCAGTCAAATCCAATTCCAAAAAGCATATACTAGTAACATATCCTTGCATTATTTATCAACATAAAAAGGGGCAAACTTCTAAGTGTAATTTTAACAAACAGGTGGTGTGCAAAGGATGAAAGCACCAAATTTAATCCTTGAATTATGATAAGAAAGTACTTAATTGCATAACCCATGTCAAAAATTCAAAGGATATGTTAATGGGTATTGGGAATTTTGTGGATTGTTACATAAAAAGCTAGAAATAAAGATATTTTCTCATTTTTAAAAAGCTAGAAATAATGATTATGAAATTGTTGAATGCAGTTAACTAACATACCTTTAAAAATTGGAGCAATCATTAGCTTACTGGTTTGTCGATGATGATTTCTGCTTGATTAGTTGGTTACGTTTACTAAATTTGTTTAAATTTCTCCCGCCGTAATTTGTTTCTGTTTCAGGCAGACAGGTTCAAGTTCGTTGGTCTATAGACAAATTAGGCCTAATATTATAAGTAGCTTAGGGGGTGCTGAATGCTGATGCGAGTCAAGTTTGAGTTTGGGTAGCTTGACTCGAGTCGCTAATATATCGAGTCAAGATGACATGAGCTTTAACTGAGTTGAGATTTGAATAAATTGATTTCGAGTAGCTTGTAATTTGATCCATAATAGTAGAACCGTAAAATGATAATAAAATAATAAAAATATACTCGTATTGTTTTTTTTGTTAAAATTATTTTTTGTTTTTGTTTCAAACGGCTGAGTATAATGGTTTTTTTAATTGAACTAAAAGTGCAGTCCAAAAAAAAAAAAACTATGTAAGAATTTCGAATCTAACGGTAATACTTAAGTCTTGTTTAGTTAAACTTATTTTTACTTTTTTTTTTTTATAAAAAATTAGTTCAAATCTAATAAAAAAAATAAGTTCAGATCAGATATCTTTTACAGTTTTTTATCGCTAAATATCTTTAAGGGAATTACGTAATAAACAAAAATTATAAAAATTATATATTAATAAAATATACATTAATACACATCTAACAAAACTTTTTCCTATATATTTCTTCTTTATTGATTATTGTACACATATAATTACAGTTTGATTAAATCTGATAATTAGATCAGATCAGATAAAAAAATAAAGTGAATTAAACAAGCCCTTAATCAACATAACCACGTGTCACTCTAATTTTCCATCTTGATACTGCTGATTCCAATTCCCAAATTTTCATCGCCTGATTAACATAATCAATCAAATCTCAAATCCACCAACAATTACAGATGTCATCATATTACTACCTCCATCCAAACTGATTAGACTAGAACCTACTATAATCCCGTGGGCCCGTCTGCAGACAATCCCCCTTCCATAAATATCTCTCCCTTATCGGATAAACATCACCAAAAAAAAAAAAAAACAAATTTCCTTAATTCCTTTTTTTCTATTTCTTTATCTTCAATTAAGAAAATACATGCTCATACACAAACATTCCAGATCCTTCTACCACCTTCTACCACCTTCTAACTTCCACTTTCTTCAACCCCAAACACCTTCTTCATACTTCGTATATAAATCTTCTTCCCGAATTTTCTCTCTCCTCAAAATTTCAATTCAATTCATCGATTTCTTCGATCTATCTCCTCGATCTTCTTTCTTTCAACAATGGCGTCAGAATCAGAAATTTCTGCAACAGAGATGCAATTATTCTTAGAAAGATTAATAACTTCAAGAAACAGAGACATCTCAATGTCTCTCCCCTTCATGTTAGGGTTCAGTGGGCCCGACCTGACTCAAACCCGGCCCAACTCGGAGGAAAACCCGAGAACCCCAGAAGAACGTCGTGAAAGAATCGTGCTGATAAACCCGATGACACAAGGGATGGTAGTGATCGAAGGAGCAGGGCTTGATTCGCTGTTTCACGGAGTACAGAGTAAGGAAGGACAACCACCAGCTTCAAAATCAGCGATCGAGAAGATGGCAAGCGTCGAGATCAGAGAAGGCGAGGAGAAAGAGTGTGTGATTTGCTTGGAAGAGTGTAAGGGGTTGGGAATCTTGCGAAGGAGATGCCATGTAAGCATAGGTTTCATGGCGGGTGTATCGATAAATGGTTGAATCTTCACGGTTCGTGTCCGGTGTGCCGGTTTAATTTACCTGTTGAGGAGGAAGATGGCGGGAAGAAGGGCGAAGATGAGGAGAGAGAAAGGAGAGGGCAAAGAGTGATTAGGTTTAGTTTTATGTTTTGGCGGAGTAGGAGAAGATCAGAGGAAGAAGAGGAGAGAGAAAGTGAGTCTAATTCAAGAGATCAGAATGAGAATGAAAATAGTAATTAGAGGTGTGAATTCGGGTTTGATCAGTCAGGTTATTTCGAGTCAGGTTAAAGACAGGATATCGAAACAAAAGGAACAAGTTATGGAAGTTTCACTAGGGTTGTTTCTTTGTTAATGATTGTGAATATTGTAGGAGATTAGATGAACAAAAATAAATTTGTTGGGTTTGATTTCTTTGAACAATTCGTTTCAATTCTTTGATTGATTTATTTGTTACTGTTTTTGACTATTATATTGATTATTGTTTTATTGTTTCATTCATTTTGTAAATAGAAGACATGTATGGATTGATTAGTTCATGGGAAAATTCTTAGAAGCATTTTTTTATTTAGGTGTTCTAATAAGTTCTAGAATGTCTTTTCAGACAATGACTTTTCTGGAAAATTTAGAAAATATACTCTATTTTAGATGTGTGGCAAAAATATTTATCAAACTAAGCTCGAAGGAAAAACGCCACCCAGGGCTACCTTTACCTGAAATGTTTGAAAACAAATTCTGCCAAGGGTAAAACGCTACCCTGGATGACGTTTTATCTCCTAACTGAAATATTGGGGTGGCGTTTTTTTTCAAACATAAAACACCAACCAGGTTGGCGTTTTATGTTGAACGTAAAAACTACCGGCAACAGTATCAGACATCCCCCTTTCCTCGTCGGTCTGTCCTGTGCAAGTGGACACCCGTATCAGACGTGGCGAGGACGTCCTGACTAAGGCCAAACTGTCGCATGACTGTCGGGGAGGTGAACCTCCACTACCTCAAAACAGATGGCACGTCACTTCATTTGATGATCACGAAGATATGGGGGCATGGCATCGACTAAGCCTGCGGCGTACGAATCCCACGTCATCTGCATTAACACGGCGTCAGTAACATCATAATTAGCAACCCTAGCTGGCCTACCAAGGGAGTGGTGGAGCCTCATATGCATGCTCCCGTTCGCCTTCCTCCTCATGGCCACTCTGCTGTCGATAGTTAGCAGCCCTAGCTGGCCTACCAACGTGAATGTGCTCCCAAGCCAAAATTCACAAGTTAAGTTTAGTCACCGTTAAGTACGTAATAGTTAAAAAAAAGGGGACTACCTAAAGCATAATCAAGGGACCACCGATCTCCCATCTACCTTGTTGGGATGCTCTGCATAGATGGCGATACAAGGTCGCCAGACACGCACTACCCCAGCTGTAGTCACGTATCCGCTCTCAGTTGTTCTCTAACAGCTGTAGGTAGATCAACTATATGTGACTACCACTCTTGTTACTAAATAACGATCCTATCAACATGAACAGGTACGCTCGAGCGTATCTCTGAACGACTCCATCATCAGCATCAGGAGGCAACACCCCAAATGTCTCTCGTAACCATATGTGTCTAAGTCCTGTGCTTCTAATATCAGCGACCTCAGGCCTCACCCCTAACACCCTCTCAACAAGGCCACGAGGATCCTCTATAATGGGCCCGGTCACTGCCTTACCACGTATTGGAAGTCGTGTCAATATCGCCACATCTCGGAGCGTGACGGTGGCCTCCCCAACTGGTAGATGGAAGGAGTGAGTCTCCTGTCTCCATCTCTTAACGAGCGCAGTAATTAGCGCTCGATCTATAGGTGTGAATGCCATCCTATGAAATCCGCCAAAACCTACATAATCGATGTAACGTAGTACATGTGGGCCGACAACCCAGTCTTCCATCACCCTGCCAACATGGTGCCTGCAAAGCAAGCACCGTGCTGGATCAACCCGTAGAACAAAAAAAATTACATAGTTGGATAAATTAACATAAAAAATGCCAAAAACATTAAAGATTTGGTAGATGAAAACTTACTGACTGCTCCCATATGTCATGGCTCCGATGGCTATCCTTAAGTGTTAGGATAGAAGGGTCAGCTGGTCCCGGTCCTTGATCGTGTCCCTCCATGATCTTTGTTTATTGCACAATGTTAAAAAAGAAATCAGCAACATCATAAGTGAAAACATACACACAACATGTTATTAAACTAAGACATATACCCGTCACCGCCCATTCGTAACAGACAAGTTCTCTTATTGTGTCCGTCCTGATGACAACGGCCGCATTTGATTGGTGGACGGTTAGTCTCATCCATTTCATTCGTATGCGCTTTGACCTTGGCTGACCAAGTCCTCAGACCATGCTCTCATCAGGAATGATTTTAGGCCCTCTATATGTCCTCCACGTCGTTTCACAAAGAATAGGCCAGAACTTTGGGACATAAGTATTCGCATACGCCTCCGATCGAAGGAAACTGTCCACCCATGGTTCCTCAGAAACTGAATACTTAAGACATATGGCTAGAGCATGAGAGCACGGTTGGTGAAATATCATAGGTTTGTTGCATGTACATGTTCTCAAATTGAAATTGACGGTATGCTTATGGTTTCCTTTTCTGCCTATCCTCTCTCCCCGGTGTGTTTATACTTAGTATATACCAAGCTGACGGTCATAAACATCCACTTTATGGTATTTTGCTTTTCCGTTATTTTTCTCCAAAATGGAAGTGACCTTAGGTGGGTATGCATATCCGTCGGCACACTTAGCATGTGAACTATCTTTCTTATATTAAAATATCTGTTAACTCTGTGGAAAGTTAACTCGACAAGGGACATGATCGGCAGAAAACGAGCTCCCTTCAACACATTGTTAAATGTTTCTGAGAAATTTGTAGTACATATCCCATACCTACGACCAGCGTAATGAAACAAGGACCACCTGGGAAACGACACATCCATAATGTACTCTAGGGACTTGACACAAGATTCACCGATAGAACGCATACCTTCATCAAAAAAATTTTCTTGGCGTTGGTAAGCAGCAGCCTTGAACCTATCTCTTATGTTGTTGTTCTCCACATGAGTCCTCAAGTTAGAGGCCATGTGTCGAACGCAAAACCTGTGAAAGGCCCGTGGCTCATGAAATCCAACATTCGGGTCAGTCATTGCAGCAATAATCCCAGCATGTCGGTCAGATATAACACATAGGCCATCTCGATCAGTAACATGAACCCGAATGTAGCTTAGAAACCAAGACCAACTGGAAGTGTTTTCCCCTTCAACTATTGCAAATGCTAGAGGAAATACTTGAAAATTAGCATCAACACTTGTAGCAACTAAAAGTGTCCCTTTATATTTCCCATACAAGTGTGTCCCATCAATCGAGATAACAGGCATGCAATGTTTAAAACCATCGATGCAAGGTTTGAAGGCCCAAAACACTCGTTCAAACACTTCCATGTTGCTGTAGTAAAAACCTTCCACAATAGCTTTGTGTTTCCATAAAACAACGGTGTCGGGGTTTGACTCTTGGAGGGCTTGCATGAAAAAAGGAAGTTTGTTGTACGAACTCTCCCAATCCCCAAAAATTTCCTCAATCGCTTTTTGTTTGGCATAACATCGAATTGAATTGAAATTGGTTAGAGATGAGATCTTGTATGAATTCAACTTTCAAACATGGATCTTTCTGCACAAATTACTTGACATAGTCACAGATTATGGAGGAGTCCAAGTGCCGGTGATCGCTGGGCGGAACTTCACTCACGCAATTCTCACGGTGTAGGCCCTTGTAAGATACAATCTTAAAGGCACTTGTGTTTAGATTTGTTTTTGTACCACGTATCGACCAACCAGACTTCCTCTTGCATTTAAGATGAAGGACATTCTCATTCGATGTCACCGTGGTGTACAATTGATTCCGTTGTATGGAATACATTTTCACCATTTCTTGAAGCACTTTCTTACTGTCGAAAATCATACCCTTCTCAAATTCTCCCCCGGCAACAAACGAAGTCTGGTTACCCGGATCAACCCAATACATGTCCACCTCATAGTTCTTGTTTATTTGAGTGAACCAAGGCAAGGGAGTTCTAGCCACAGCATCATCAACAGACATTTTGTTGTTTATACCATCTTCCTCATCTCCGCCCTCACCCTCGTTATTTGTATCCTCATACATATTAAGAACAGACAATTCGTTGTTAACAGTTTCAGCAGTCACCAAAGTTTGAGATGGTGTTGCTTGAACATGTTCTTGCATAGGAGAGTAACTATGCAACTGCAGCGGTGATGAAATGTCATTTTTTGAGGTAGATGGACCAGGTTGCTGCAACATTAGCACCGACACCCCTTCATGTACAGGTGTAGTATGTGAACTGAACGGAATATTAAATTGATCGTCGTGTAACATTCTACTGAACGATCCCATTCCATATTCAGATGACGGAATGTTGTATGAGGGAATTTGTAACGATCTTGTATGGTATGAGGGAAGGTATGTAGGTTGTTGTTATGTCAATCGAATAGTCTGTTGAGTACATATAGGCACCATTTCCACATACAAATCAGTAGGAAGACACCTCACTGCAACGACACCCCTCAGAACCTCCAAATGGTTATCATTCAAAACAGGTAAGATTTGAACCCCACTAACACTCTCAAACCTCATTTTAATGTTTATTTCAACATTAATTGGGTTTGAACCAGTTACAGTATAAACCTTATTCAACAAATCATTGTAAGTCATACAAGGTTTCAATGCAATTGGTTCCATTTTTCCTCCTCTATACTCGACGTTCGATCTGACACACAAAATTTCACCCCCCCACACACATAACAAAACAATCAATTGTGAAGCCATGTTCTACATAAGAATCGAAACGCATATTAGATGACACAAATACACAACACAACTAAAACCACAATAATTCCATTAAATCCTCAAGCTAAGTGTATATACAAAGTAGTGTTCAACAATGTACTTATTCACCTAATTAATCAACAATGTAGTATATACTTAAATGTACCTAATTCAACAATGTAGTTTGTAAATATACTTAAATTACATAATTACACAATAAATATACATATTTAGCAAAAAAAAAAAAAAAAAACACTACATACTTGAACAACAATGTATGCTTCATATACTTAATTTGAAATTACACAACATACATATAAATATACTTAATTTCAATAATTAAACAACAATCTATTATGTAGTTATACTTATTTCGCATACTTGAACAACAATATAGTACATAAATTGTAAATTACAAACATAAATTCCCAAAAAACATCAAAAACAAGTAACATAGTTAAATTGAATACATACCTCAAATACGTAAATTCACTGCGTAAAAGTGTTAAAGAACGAAGGAGGAACAATTTTTAGTGAGTATGATGAAGATCTAAGCAATGGGAAGTGATGAATTTGCTGCAAATATGGAGGATTGGGCGAGGTACTGTGCGCGGGT